ATCTTGGAGCACCATGGACAGTACAATCATTCGTCAAGGGTGAAGAAAATAGGGGCTCTGGGGTGAGCTTGATTCCCAATAGCCGTTTGAGTCATGGAGCACCATTGAGTGTACAATCATTCGTCAAGGGTGAAGAAAACAGAGGCTCTGGGGTGAGCTTGATTCCCAATAGCCGTTTGAGTCATGGAGCACCATTGAGTGTACAATCATTCGTCAAGGGTGAAGAAAACAGAGGCTCTGGGGTGAGCTTGCTTCCCAGTAGCCGTTCGAGTCCTGGAGCACCATGGAGAGTACAATCATTCGTCAAGGGTGAAGAAAACAGAGACTCTGGGGTGAGCTTGATTCCCAGTAGCCGTTTGAGTCTTGGAGCACCATTGAGAGTACAATCATTCGTCAAGGGTGAAGAAAAGAGAGAGACTCTGGGGTGAGCTTGATTCCCAATAGCCGTTTGAGTCATGGAGCACCATTGAGTGTACAATCATTCGTCGAGGGTGAAGAAAACAGAATCTCTAGGGTGAACTTGCTTCCCAATAGCCGTTTGAGTCATGGAGCACCATTGAGTGTACAATCATTCGTCAAGGGTGAAGAAAACAGAGGGTCTGGGGTGAGCTTGATTAATTCGTCAATAGCTTGTTTAGCCGTTTGAGTCATGGAGCACCATTGAGTGTACAATCATTCGTCAAGGGTTAAAAAAAGAGACTCTGAGGCTCTGTAGCCGTTTGAGTCTTGGAGCACCATTGATTACCCGTCAGTAGCCGTTTAAGTAACCGTTCGAATCTTGGAGCACCATGGAGTGTCCAATCATTCGTCAAGGGTGAAGGAAAATAGGGGCTCTGGGGCCGTGATTCATGGAGCAACATTGAGTGTACAATCATTCGTCAAGGGTGAAGAAAAACAGCCGTTTGAGTCATGGAGAACCATTGAGTGTACAATCATTCGTCAAGGGTTAAGAAAACAGAGGCTCTGGGGTGAGCTTGATTCCCAGTAGCCGTTTGAGTCATGGAGCACCATTGAGTGTACAATCATTCAAGGGTCAAGAAATCAGAGGCTCTGGGGTGAGCTTGCTTCCCAATAGCCGTTTGACTCATGGAGCACCATTGAGTGTACAATCATTCGTCAAGGGTGAAGTAAACAGAGGCTCTAGGATGAACTTGCTTCCCAAAAGCTGTTTGAGTCATGGAGCACCATTGAGTGTACAATCATTCGTCAAGGGTGAAGAAAACAGAGGCTCTGTGGTGAGCTTGATTCCCAATAGCCGTTTGAGTCATGGAGCACCATTGAGGGTACAATCATTCGTCAAGTGTGAAGAAAACAGAGGCTCTGGAGTGAGCTTGCTTCCCAGTAGCCGTTCGAGTCCTGGACCACCATGGAGAGTACAATCATTCGTCAAGGGTGAAGAAAACAGAGACTCTGGGGTGAGCTTGATTCCCAATAGCCGTTTGAGTCATGGAGCACCATTGAGGGTACAATCATTCGTCAAGGGTGAAGAAAACAGAGGCTCTGGGGTGAGATTGATTCCCAATAGCCGTTAGAGTGATGGAGCACCATTGAGGGTACAATCATTCGTCAAGGGTGAAGAAAACAGAGGCTCTGGGGTGATATTGCTTCCCAGTAGCCGTTCGAGTCATGGAGGACCATGGAGAGTACAATAATTCGTCAAGGGTGACGAAAACAGAGGCTCTGGGGTGAGCTTGATTCCCAGTAGCCGTTTGAGTCATGGAGCACCATTGAGTGTACAATCATTCGTCAAGGGTGAAGAAATCAGAGACTCTGGGGTGAGCATGCTTGCCAGTAGCCGTTTGAGTCTTGGAGCACCATTGAGTGTACAATCATTCGTCAAGGGTGAAGAAAACAGAGACTCTGGGGTGAGCTTGCTTCCCCGTAGCCGTTTGAGTCATGGAGCACCATTGAGTGTACAATCATTCGTCAAGGGTGAAGAAAACACAGAGACTCTAGGATGAACTTGCCCAAAAGCTGGGGTGGAGCACCATTGAGTGTACAATCATTCGTCAAGGGTGAAAAAATCAGAGGGTCTGGGTAAGCTTGCTTCCCAGTAACCGTTCGAGTCATGGAGCACCATGGAGAGTTTGTCAAGGGTGAAGAAAACAGAGGCTCTGGGGTGAGCTTGATTCCCAATAGCCGTTTGAGTCATGGAGCAACATTGAGTGTACAATCATTCGTCAAGTGTGAAGAAAACAGTGGCTCTGGAGTGAGCTTGCTTCCCAGTAGCCGTTCGAGTCCTGGAGCACCATGGAGAGTACAATCATTCGTCAAGGGTGAAGAAAACAGAGACTCTGGGGTGAGCTTGATTCCCAATAGCCGTTTGAGTCATGGAGCACCATTGAGGGTACAATCATTCGTCAAGGGTGAAGAAAACAGAGGCTCTGGGGTGAGCTTGATTCCCAATAGCCGTTTGAGTCATGGAGCACCATTGAGGTACAATCATTCGTCAAGGGTGAAGAAAAGCTTGATTCCCAGAGACTCATGGAGCACCATTGAGTGTACAATCATTCGTCAAGGGTTAAGCTCTGGGTTTGAGTCTTTGAGTCATGGAGCACCATTGAGTGTACAATCATTCGTCAAGGGTGAAGAAAACAGAGACTCTGGGGTGAGCTTGCTTCCCCGTAGCCGTTTGAGTCATGGAGCACCATTGAGTGTACAATCATTCGTCAAGGGTGAAGAAAACAGAGGCTCTAGGATGAACTTGCTTCCCAAAAGCTGTTTGAGTCATGGAGCACCATTGAGTGTACAATCATTCGTCAAGGGTGAAGAAATCAGAGGGTCTGGGTAAGCTTGCTTCCCAGTAACCGTTCGAGTCATGGAGCACCATTGAGGTACAATCATTCGTCAGTAAAACAGTCTGGGGTGAGCTTGAGCCATGGAGCACCATGGAGAGTACAATCATTCGTCAAGGGTGAAGAAAACAGAGGCTCTGGGGTGAGCTTGATTCCCAGTAGCCATTTGAGTCATGGAGCACCATTGAGTGTACAATCATTCGTCAAGGGTTAAGAAAACAGAGACTCTGGTGTGAGCATGCTTCCCAGTAGCCGTTTGAGTCTTGGTCAAGGGTGACAGCACCATTGAGTGTACAATCATTCGTCAAGGGTGAAGAAAACTCTGGGGTGGCTCTGGGGTTTGAGTCTTGGAGCCCCATTGAGTGTAAATCATTCGTCAAGAAGAAAACAGAGACTTGGGGTGAGCACCATGGAGTCATGGAGCACCATTGAGTGTACAATCATTCGTCAAGGGTGAAGAAAAGAGGCTCTAGGATGAACTTGCTTCCCAAAGCTGTTTGAGTCATGGAGCACCATTGGTGTACAATCATTCGTCAAGGGTGAAGAAATCAGAGGGTCTCTTGCTTCCCAGTAACCGTTCGAGTCATGGAGCACCATGGAGAGTACAATAATTCGTCAAGGGTGAAGAAAACAGAGGCTCTGATAGCCATTTGAGTCATGGAGCACCATTGAGTGTACAATCATTCGTCAAGGGTTAAGAAAACAGAGACTCTGGGGTGAGCATGCTTCCCAGTAGCCGTTTGAGTCTTGGAGCACCATTGAGTGTACAATCATTCGTCAAAGGTGAAGAAAACAGAGGCTCTGGGGTAAGCTTGCTTCCCAGTAACCGTTCGAATCTTGGAGCACCATGGAGAGTACAATCATTCGTCAAGGGTGAAGAAAATAGGGTCTCTGGGCTGAGCTTTCTTCCCAATAGCCGTTTGATTCATGGAGCAACATTGAGTGTACAATCATTCGTCAAGGGTGAAGAAAACAGAGGCTCTGTGGTGAGCTTGATTCCCAATAGCCGTTTGATTCATGGAGCAACATTGAGTGTACAATCATTTGTCAAGGGTGAAGAAAACAGAGGCTCTGGGGTGAGCTTGCTTCCCAGTAGCCGTTCGAGTCCTGGAGCACCATGGAGAGTACAATCATTCGTCAAGGGTGAAGAAAACAGAGACTCTGGGGTGAGCTTAATTCCCAATAGCCGTTTGAGACATGGAGCACCATTGAGTGTACAATCATTCGTCAAGGGTGAAGAAAACAGAGGCTCTGGGGTGAGATTGCTTCCCAGTAGCCGTTTGAGTCATGGAGCACCATGGAGAGTACAATCATTCGTCAAGGGCGAAGACAACAGAGGCTCTGGGGTGATATTGCTTCCCATTAGCCGTTCGAGTCATGTAGCACCATGGAGATTACAATCATTCGTCAAGGGTGAAGAAAACAGAGGCTCTAGGGTGAGCTTGATTCCCAGTAGCCGTTCGAGTCATGGAGCATCATTGAGAATACAATTATTCATCAGAACCGAAGAAAATCGAGGATCTGCTGTGTGCTCAATTCCCCATAGACATTTCCGGCTAGGAGCCCCATGGAGGAAACAGAGGCTCTGGGTTGAGTTCGTGACTTAATGGACGTTTGAAATCCCAGCGCAAGAAATAAATAGATTTATCTAAAAAAATGAGACTTAGGTATATTCCGACGCATTTTTATTGATGATAATGTAATCTATACCAATGCAAAAAGGTAAAGCGATTTCTGAAGCGATGGAACCGTAACCTTGTACAGCTGCATGAGTTATGGAAAATGCATTTAGAAAATTTGAACTGTTTAAAAATATTCTGCTGTTCCTTGTTGAATTCCCTGCATTCGTCTAATATTTCAACATTTTCGCCGCGTATTTAGACAGCTTCTTAGCACTTGTGGCCTAACAACCTTTTTTTTCTGTAGCCTCATGTCTTATTATAAGATGTTTCCTTTTGCGAGGCTGTGTTTTCATTTAGGCCCCGCCTGTAACGTTGCGTTTGGTTTTCCTGTATCTTCCTCTATCTTATAGATGCCATCTGCTAGGTTGATGCAATGCGTAATATTATGTGACCCACCGCACTACATCTCTCTCTCTCTCTCTGTCTCTCTCTCTCTTGAATATTTTTATTGCTGCATTTGTTATTCTCTTCTACTCCCTTAAGAAGTTTAACATTTTCGTTCAAATTCGTCCATTTATTTCAGAATCTATCAACGATAATTTTCTGTTCTATTTATCAATATGTGCCCACCATCTTTTCATTACCTATCTATCTATCTATCTATCTATCTATCTATCTATCTATCTATCCTTTAGTTTATCTATCTATATCTATCTATCTATCTATCTATCTATCTATCTAGCTAGCTAGCTAGCTAGCTAGCTCGCTAGCTATCTATCTATCCCGGTTTACCGATATCTATCTATCTATCTATCTATCTATCTATCTATCTATCTATCTATCTATCTATCTCGGTTTACTAATATCTATCTATCTATCTCTCTATCTATCTATCTATCTATCTATCTATCTATCTATCTTAGTTCATTATTTGTAAGGTATATTTGGAGATTGAATCGATCAAACATACCATTTTCATTTTCCCGTCAGCCTGTCCGAATTTAGCAAAACTATTTGAATAATAAAATTGTAAAAATATTCTCGAATCTGTTTCAGATCTTCTTATGTTATTCGAATGGCTTCATTATCTCCTTGAATGCAATTGGCCTTTGACAAGACATTTCACAGAATTTCATGGATGCGTTTTATGGCTTTATTTCTATTGTATACCATAACTTTCCGCATCTGTTGGATGAAAATCTACTGGAAGATGAAAATATTTATTTTCGTATTAGCGTTTCGCTATTTTATCAAAAAGCTTCTGAAAAAAATTCTAAGGAGTGCCCATTACTGTTTCAACTCTAGAACATAAAAAAGGCCACGGGCAGTTTGAAAAAAATTATCTGTCAATAAAAAGAATTATATATATATATATATATATATATATATATATATATATATATATGTAGATATATATATAAAAATGGAAAGAACACGTTAGGTAAATAATTCGGAAGTCTTTAGTTTTTTTTTATTTTTAAAAAACAGTGCTCCATACAGAAGTAGATCTTCAATTATAATTATTTTTTAAAAAACATGATTCCTTCGCTACATATGAGTTCTCAAGTTTCAAAAAGTTATTGAGTTTCAAAATAATGAAAATTCATTAAACCGTAGACATGAGTTAACGGCTTTTTGCCGACATCAACAAATTTTCGCATTAAATAATTAGCATAAAAAATAAATTTTATAGTCTAATAAAAGGTTTAAAATCTTAATCCAATCATAAGAAAGAAACACCCTTTATGAAGTCGTAAAAAAACAAAACAAATTGTAGTTCAGTGCGACGCGTTTATGTACGAAACAGCCCTTTAAGAAAAAAAATAAATAAAATAAATTCTCTAGACACTTAACGACATATTATAGTGCCAAAATCTACCTTTCGATGCGTAAATTTCAAGATTGGTTATTCCTAAATTTTCGCTTGAGGATGAAACAGGGCTTGATACTTTAATTCAATTTAATTTTAATAATTATATTGAGGTTTTTGGCTCTCGTTTTTGAAACATGAGAACTCTTATGTAGCGAAGGAATCATATTTTCAAAAAATAATTATTATATATATATATATATATATATATATATATATATATGTGTGTGTGTGTGTGTGTGTGTGTGTGTGTGTGTGTGTGTGTGTGTGTGTGTGTTTGTGTTTGATTACAGTGAACGAAATCCAGATGATTTACCTCATACAAATGATCATTTCGTCCATGGGAAAGTAGTTTTTCAATGGATTAATCAATACAAATAAATTTACTAAAAATGAATAAACCATTTCTTCACTGGACATTTGGAAGGGAAAGGAAGGAAAGAAGAAAAAAGAAAAAAGGAAAGTATATATAGATATATAATTTTATTATTAAATCTTTATTATAAGAGATAAAAAATTTTTGAAAGTGCTACACAAAAGCTTTCATGTTTCAATACTATGATTGTACTTCTTCAGACGATTGTAAGTAACTGGTGATTAAATGATTTTTTGAGAAATTTAAAACCAAATCTTTACCTCTTTTCAATTCTTCACCCCGGAATCGATCCTTCAGATCTACAAATCAACAATTCGCCCTTGCATGGAGTGTTGCTGCTATATATGGTCTGGACCTCCTTCTGTTTCCCTCGGGGTTCTTGATAAGCGCCAGAGGCGGATATGCAATATAATTGGCCCTGTTCTGGCATCCCGCTCTCAGCCTTTCACTGTCAAATCTACTAAATGTAGCCGTCTCTTCTACACCAATAGCTTCCAGTCTCGCACCCCTCGCCTGTGGAACTCCCTTCCCTATTCCAGTTTCCTTGAGAGTTATAATCTTTAACTATTCAAATGCAATGTCAATCGACACCTCCAGTTGTCTTGATCTATCCACTATCCTTCTCCTCATCCTTTCTTCTATCACTCCTATCTGATCTTGCTTCAAATCTTCTGTAACCCCTTGCATCATAGTGGCTTCCCGCCTTGCTTGGGGTGAATCGCTTAACCCCCCCAAAAAAAAACTAATAATTAACGTTGTTTATTCCAATGCATACTTTTAATTAACACAACATGATTTTTGGTGCCAAGAAACACGATTTTTTGTGCCAAGAAACAAAAAAGAAAAAAACGTTCTGGCTAATTTAATGGTGCTGATTCCAAGAAAATGGCGTTAGTTTTTCTTGATTAGCTGCCGTTTTTGCTGTACTGAAATCGCTTATTTTTGGAAAAAAAGATCAATTTACGATCTTGGCTGATAACAAAATTTAGTTAATAAAGGTCGTAGAAACCCGTCAATTTTCAGGTAGGCCGAGCAATTTATGTCAGCCACCCGAAATAAACTATTTTTACAAGAAAAAAAATTTTGAATCCAAAATTTAAAAATAGAAGTACCAAAATTTTCCAATTTATCGCCAAATTTCAAATTAACTGATAAACTTTATCAGAAATACAATTTAGTAAACCTGATAATTAAGGTGACATCAAAAAATGAAACGCTAAAATCTTCTGTTTGATATTCACAAATTTATCCCATAACTTGTATTCCTTCACTACGAATAAAAAAAAAAAATTCTGACAATTTACCCCCCCACCTCCCTAATTTAACTTTCGGTAAAAGGGTAACGATTTGTTTTTAAATTTCCTTAAAATTTCATTTAGTATTATTATCAGTTACCTACCGTCGCCTGAGGAGGTACAATCAATGTATTGAAACATAAATGCATTTGTGTAGTGATTTCAAAATGTTATTATAATCTCTTATAATAAAAATATAATAATAATAATAATAATAATATTTATATATATATATATATATGCCTGTGTGTGTGTGTGTGTGTGTGTGTGTGTGTGTGTGAACAAATCAATGACACTTGTACGTGGGAAATAGTTTAGAATAAAATTTTAATATTGCCATTCGAGATATGAAAACAAAATTGAATAAATTAATTTTAATCCTGAGAAAATTAAGTCGTGTGTATGTAAAGAGAAGTTCTTTTTTAGCTATCCATTATTTGTTGACAATCTCCCCATCATCGCCGATTTGAACCAGAATTATCACTAATCACAATGAACCTTCATGTTCCTTCAGCTGGCCCTCTACCTTGAGCGCCTCATGTGGAACTCGTACACACGAAGCATTGGCAATGATGCTGGAAAAATGGTTTGTTTTCTGCATCGCTGGACTAAATATCAAACTCCTCCTGATATATTATACGTTTACAAGGGCCAGATTAGGCCAAAAATGGAGTATTGTTGCTATATATATCGTTTGGACTGGAAAATGGTTTCTTGGCCATATATATATATATATATATATATATATCGTTTGGACTGGAAAGAAAGCTAGGCATTTCTTGGCCATATATATATATATATATATATATATCGTTTGGACTGGAAAGAGAAATCTAGGCATTTCTTGATATATATATATATATATATATCGTTTGAACTGGAAAGATCTAGGCATTTCTTGGCCAATATATATATATATATATATATATATCGTTTGACTGGAAAGAGAAAGCTAGGCATTTCTTGGCCATATATATATATATATATATATATATATCGTTTGGACTGGAAAGAGAAATCTAGGCATTTCTTGGCCATATATATATATATATATATATATATATATCATTTGGACTGGAAAGAAATCTAGGCATTTCTTGGCCATATATATATATATATATATATATATATATATATATATATATATATATATATAAGAAATGCCTAGCTTTCTTTTCCAGTCCAAACGCGTCTCCACGTCCCTGTGGGTGACAAATGATTTCCCCCCTACAATCCATTCCTCACGGACAAAACGTTACAAGCCTCTCGCTGCTCTATGAAAAGTGCTCAGTCTAACTACATTCCTTAGTTCCACCAATTCTAACCGTCACGGCTAAGACCCACCATGCCACGCCCATTGTAGCGACCCACCTTCATTCTCTTCGTATTCCATTGGCGAGACGTAATTTCACCGTAGATAGCTTCTTCCCACGAATCACTGCTTTGTGGAACCAACTCCCAAGAGGTTATTTCCCTGATCACTTCAAGCTTAATCTGTTCAATTCTCGGATTAACCGTTATCTTTCCATTTGTAAATGACAGGTTCATATTTCCTGTTATATTTGCAAAAGCAGGAGTTATAAGTTTTAGTCTGGTCTTAATCCTGGTCAGTCTCCTTTGCTCTGCTCAATTGGGTAATCCTTCATTCTCTTTCGAACGAAGGAAAAAGAATAAATAAAAAAAATGGATTGCATTTTCTTGCCACCCCAAGCTGGCAGGAGGTAACAAAAGTTCAGTTTAATGTGAGGAGTCCGAGCACATGCACCCGGGACAGATCCCCAAATAGCCCAGCTCTCGCATTTATCGGTTGTGCTGGCAACGTTATTACTACAGATTACCCCAATCCTTAATGCAACGAGATAGGTAGCCATTTTCCGAAACGGGGTATCTCTGAATAATATTTTCAGTTGTGCTCATCGGAAGAGGGAGACGCAGCTGGGAGATAAAATTTAGTTTATCCGCCCGAGGGCAGATACCGCGTTTTGATCCCAACCAAACGGCCGAGTTCATTTTTCAGCGCGCGCACGTCGCTATCGAATGCGACGAAAGGTCGAGGTTTATAGCGGGTTTAAAGGCAATGCCGTGCAAAAATTGCCCAAGCCCCTCCTCGGCACATCCGCTTTTGGGGATGTCTCAGGCGCTGGGTAAAGTAAATGGTATTAGGTTGGTGCAAACATAATGACGTAATAATGTCGTTTTTTGACGTATTTTTTAAGGTCAAAAAACGACATTATTACGTCATTATTTTTGCACCAACCTAATATAAACAGTGTAATTTTACTTCATCTGTTTTTTCTCTCATATATATATATATATATATATATATATATATGTGTGTGTGTGTGTGTGTGTGTGTGTGTGTGTGTGTGTATATATGATCGGTGTATGATGA